CCATGCTTGTCTCCAGGGTTTCTCAAGGGCTTCACCCATCCTCTGGAACTCCCTACCCCAAGCTATCAGGCTATCGCCTACTCTGCTCACCTTTAGGTGCACTCTGAAAACCTATCTCTTCAGGGAAGCCTACCCCGCCCCCAGCTAATACTGGAATCCACTACTCCTCCTACCAATCCATCCCCCACAGCTAATTAACTCTTGTACCACTATCCCCTCCCTCCTAGATTGTGAGCTCCAAGGAGCAGGGCCCTCTAATCCCTCTTGTATTGAACTGTACTGTCTCCTTCCATAATGTAAAGCGCTGAGTAAACTTTTGGCGCTATATAAGTCCTGTATAATAATAATAATAATGTGATAGCAAAAGTAATTTTCAATATTTTTATATCTGCAGCTTTCAATAAATATTTGCTGGTCTTACCAATAAGGTCCTTGTTAAAACACTTCCTGTTATAGAGTACAAAGGTTCTGTCCCCATCTCCCAGTTGTTCTTCTGTCTTGTCACGTGGTCACATGCTTTTCTAATAGAGACCACAAATTCTGAACACACTGTGGACTCATGTCATCATCAGAAACTGTGAAGCCATCTGTGGAGTGAGTGCATGTAGACAGAAAGTGACTGCAAAGAGGCTGCAGAAGATCAATAGCACTAAAGCCTTATCCACATGGGTGTTGAAGACTGTGACTGAGTCGTGTATCTATGCGGCTTGAGCCTCCAGGTACTGCATGCAGCCCATGTAATTGTACGGGGATGCGATGGTTGCACAGACATATCCCCTCACCCTAATTTAACAGGTATGCTGATGAGCAGTCCCAGATACATACTGTCTACATTCAGGGCTGTACACACACACACACACACATCTGTCATATTGGGATGTGTGGCTGTGGCTGCATAGCTGCTGCATCTTCATATACTTACATGGGCTGTCTGCACATAGCACTTGGTGGCTCAAGCTGCATAAACACACAACCCATCCATGGCTTTTGAACCTCAAAACGCATGTGAATTGAGTTTGCATGTTCTCCCTGTGCTTGTGTGGGTTGTCTCCGGGTTCTCAGGTTTCCTCCCACACTCCAAAAGACGTGGGTAGGTTAATTGGCTCTTTTGTAAATTGGCCCCAGGATGTGTATCTATAAATGTGAGTTATGGACCTTAGATTGTACGCTCCTTGGGGTTAGGGATTGATGTGAATGTATAATATGTATATGTAAAGCACTGCGTAAATTGATGGCACTATATATGTATGTGCAATAAATAAATAATGAGGCCTAAGATTCAATAAAGAATGAAAAAGGTTAAAACAAATACTTTCTTCTTACAGTGCTTTTGAGAAGATTGAAAATCTTCTCAAAAGTCGGGGGTCGTCTTATACGCCGGTAACGGCATGCTGACACTTTTTAGGGGGGCCGCCGCCCCCCCCTTCCAACAGAAGGGACACTAAGTACAGGGGTGGGCAGGGGCTGCTGTCTCTTACCTGGCTCCGGTCCCACGACGATCCGGTCCAGGAAGCGCGGCTGCTCCTTTCTTCGGTTCGTCCACTGGATGTTCGCGCGGCTGCTCGGCTCCGCCTCCTCACCGGTGATTGGCCGCCAGAACTGTAGCTCAGGAAAGGCACACAGGTGGCCAATCACCGGCGAGGAGGCGGAGCTGAGCGGCCCCGCGAAAATCGAGTGGAGAGATGCAGGTAAGTGTGCCGTGCTTAGGTGCTGCTGCAACCACATATGCTGGCTGCAGCAGCACCATACTGGAACAGGGGTCAGCAAGTGTCAGTGGGAGGAATAGTGCCCCATCATTGGTGTCACTGATACCAATGATGGGGCATTATTCCTCCCACTGACACCAACGATGGGGCACTTTTCCTCCCCCCCACTGACACCAACGATGGGGCACTATTCCTCCCCCCCCACTGACACCAACGATTGGGCACTATTCCTCCCCCCATACTGACACCAATGATGGGGCACTATTCCACCCCCCACTGACACCAATGATGGGGCACTATTCCACCCCCCACTGACACCAATGATGGGATACTATTCCTCCCCCCCCCCACTGACACCAACGATGGGGCACGATTCCCCCCCCCCCCCACTGACACCAATGATGGGATACTATTCCAAAGATGGGGCCACTGACACCAAAGATGGGGCACTATTCCAATGATACTAATGATGGGGCACTAATTCCTGCCACGCTGACACCAATGATGGGGTGCTATTCCCCCCAATGATACTAATGATGGGGCACTATTCCTGCCACTGATACCAATGATGGGGCACTATTCCTCCCACTGACACCAATGATGGGACACTATTCCCTCCCACTGATACCAATGATGGGGCACTATTCCTCCCACTGATACCAATGATGGGACACTATTCCTTCCACTGACACCAATGATGGGGCACTATTCCTGCCACTGATACTAATGATGGGGTGCTATTCCTCCCACTGACGCCAATGATGGGGCACTATTGCTGCCACTGATACTAATGATGGGGCACTATTCCTCCCACTGACACCAATGATGGGGCACGTATCTTCCCACTGACACCAATGATGGGGCACTATTCCTCCCACTGACACTAATGATGGGGCACTCTTCCTGCCACTAATACCAATGATGGGGCACTATTCCTCCCACTGACACCAATGATGGGGCACTATTCCTCCCACTGATACCAATGATGGAGCACTATTCCTTCCACTGACACCAATGATGGGGCACGATTCTTCCCACTGGTGTGCACTGGAAGAGGGGTAGTCTTATACGGCGAGTATAGCCCAAACACTACATTTTAAACAGGAAAGTAGGGGGTCGTCTTATACGCCCAGTCGTCTTATACGCCGGAAAATACGTTACTATAAATATTGGAAATTTTATTTATATGTTTTTTATATATAATATATATATATCATTAGTTAGAAACAGAATTATTCTTTCAAGTAATACTCAGTGTTTAACCACTTTACAACCGTGCTATAGCCAAATGACGGCTACAGTGCGTTTGTCCAGTTCTGGGAGGGCGTCATCTGACGCCCTCCCAAAATGCGCCCCACATGCGCCCCCAGTGGTGCGCACCCAGCGCTGTCTGTGATCGCTGTGTCGTATGGACACGGCTAATCACATGACAAGGTAAAAGGCCAATCACAGCGGCCTTTTACCACGTGATCAGATGTGTTCAATGATCACAAAGTAAATACAGTTGACGATTATCAGTAGCACTGCTGCTAAATGACAAGTGTCACAGAGGACATCTGCACTGATAATCAGGGCACTGATTATCAGTGCAGCCCCAAAAGTGCCCAGCAGTGGTGCCTATCTGTGCCACCCATCAGCTACACAGCAGTGCCCAGAAGTCCAACCCATCAGTGCCACCCATCAGCTACACAGCAGTGCCCAGAAGTGCCACCCATCAGTGCCACCCAGAAGTGCAACCCAACAGTGATGCCCATCCGTGATGCCAGTCCGTGCCACCAGTCAGTGCTGCCTATCAGTCAGTGCCGCCAGTCAGTTCACATTAGTGCCGCCTATCAGTGCCCTTCAGTGATGCCTATTAGTGCCAATCATTGCCACCTATCAGTGCCCATCAGTGTAGCATCATCAGTGCCTCTTCATCAATTACCACCAGTGCCACCACATCAGTGCAGCCTATCAATGCCTATCAGTGCCGCCTCATCAGTGCCTATCAATGCCGCCTCATCAGTGCTGCCTATCAGTGCTGCCTATCAGTGCAGCCTCATCAGCGCACATCAGTGAAGGAGGAAATGTACCTGTTTGCTAAATTTTATAATAGAAACAAAGAAAAAAAGTTGGGGGGTCAAATTTTTTGCTTTTTTTCATGTATAGTGCAAAAAATAAAAATCCCAGTGGTGATTAAATACCACCAAATGAAAGCAATATTTTTGTGGAAAAAAAAAATATTAAAATGTCATATGGATACAATGTTGCATGACCGCGCAATTGTCATTCAAAGTGCATCAGCGCTGAAAGCTGAAAATTGGCCTGGGCAGGAAGGGGACAAAAGTGCCAGGTAGGCAAGTGGTTAAAGTTTTTGGCACACATGTGTACTTATTTGCATCCATTTTCTGTGTTGTTGGGAATCATATTGTCAAAAGAGAAAAACACAAGTTGCTCACTGAATGCATGTCCTATAGTCACCCAGCATTTGCATCAGCTAATTGCCATTTAAGCTTGCTATTGTTTTTTAGCTACTGGCAAGTTGCAGAATTCTGCTCCCAGACTCTGAAGATCTAGCAGCATAAAGAAAGAAAAGGACTGGTAATTAAAATGCAGACAATACTCCAGACCCTTGATCTATTATGCAAAAATAGACAAATAACAAACACATTAATACTGTTCTTCTTTGAATATTTTGTGTATTCGTGTACATCTGAACTGCTGGTTTGTTTTATTCTGTATATCCATTGCTGTCATTTTATGATGTGATTAAATAAAGTAAGGACTTTTAAAGCACAGTAGGGTTAGTTGGCTAACGCCCCATACACACAATGAGAATATCAGACAAATAATTGTTCGGGTCTTTTTTTTTTTGCATGCTAGAATCATATCAAAAATGATGAGGTTACTAAAGTTATGAAAATTCTCGTACTACAGAGTACAATTTCATAAGTGATTGTATTGTGTTCTTTCTTTTCCGAGCATGTGAGGTCATGGTCTCTTGATTTTTTCAGATGTATACTGTGCTGAATAAACAAAAATCATTCGCTTTGTTATGGTACAAGAAACATTTGCATGCATGTCCCTTTGGATACTGTCACATGAGCTGCTGTGATCAGCGTTATCTGTTGATCAGATTATCGTATGATTCCTCTGAAAGCGATTTTTGTCATCCGATTTTCTGATCATGTGTACTAGGCATTAATCATATATACACTATATTGCCAAAAGTATTGGGACACCCCTCCAAATCATTGGATTCAGGTGTTCCAATCACCTCCATCGCCATAGGTGTATACAATCAAGCACCTAGGCATGCAGACTGCTTCAACAAACATTTGTGAAAGAATGGGTCACTCTCAGGAGCTCAGTGAATTCAAGCGTTGTACTGTGATAGGTTGTCACCTGTGCAAAAAGTCCATCTGTGAAATTTCCTTGCTACTAAATATTCCACAGTCAACTGTTAGTGGTATTATAACAAAGTGGAAGCAACTGGGAACAACCGCAACTCAGCCACAAAGTGGTAGGCCACATAAAATGACAGAGCGGGATCAGTGCATGCTGAAGCGCACATTGCGCAGAAGTCACCAACTGTCTGCAGAATCAATAGCTAGAGACCTCCAAACTTTATGTGGCCTTCAGATTAGAACAACAACAGTGCATGGAGAGCTTCATGGAATTGGTTTCCATGGCCGACCAGCTGCATCCAAGCCTTACATCACCAAGTGCAATGCAAACCGTTGGATGCAGTGGTGTAAAGCATGCTGCCACTGGACTCTAGAGCAGTGTAGACGTGTTCTCTGGAGTGATGGATCATGCTTCTCTGTCTGGCAATCCGATGGACCATGTCTGGGTTTGACAGTTGCTAAGAGAATGGTACTTGCCTGACTGCCTTGTGCCACGTGTAAAGTTTGTTTTTCAGGGGTTGGGCTTTTCCCCTTAGTTTCAGTGAAGGGAACTATTAATACCAAGACATTTTGGACAATTTCATGCTCTCAACTTTGTGTGAATAGTTTGGAGATGGCCCCTACCTGCTCCAACATGACTGCACACAGCAAGGCCCATAAACATATGGATGAAACAATGCCACGTCCAGCTGCACTCTGCACAAAGATTTTCCAGCTAATGGACCACAATCTGTGTACCTGCAGCCTGGGAGCGATTTCTACTGGGTCAGGTTAATTACGCAATTAACCCTTCACACTGCCACCACCTCCTTTTTGTACAAAGAAAGAGGAAACTCAACAATATTAGCAATACACTATGATGTTTGAATGATTGTATACTCAATGTCACTGCAGACAGATGTATGCAGACATTTAAAACACACACGCGTTCTTCAGAGACAGGGGTTCTTAGTTTGCATTAAAGAGCTTTACAAACAGTTCAACACTTTCAGAAAGTAAGATTTAATACTAAAAGGTCAAAAGGGTGTAATAAAAATATTTACAGAAAAAGATGTAGCCAATATATATAGAGCAATAACACGGCAAAGAGATAACAGAAAGAAGTTTAGAGAGATAAAGTACTTGCCGTCAGCCTTGGTTTAGCAGACCATGTTTCCTGAACAAAAGGTCCTTTATCTCCCAAAGTTGGTTCCAATGTTAAAAGGCAGAATTCTTCAACTTAGCACAACTCAGCTTAGCTTAACATAACAGCTTTTCTAGGAACTCAGCAGGGTGTCTTCTTGAAGCAGAGAACCAATCGCCTCATTTGGAGAGGGTGTTGGGCAGAGACCCAAGCTAGAACCAAAATCCCTCGCAAGTTGATACCAGGACAATAACTTTCCTTGGATACCTGTAACATTCTATCCACGAGTAGATTAATATGCAGAATCACCTGCCGAACGTCTAGATATGAAATATGACATACCTGCTGGGACAGTTAAGGAGATGTCATTTTCTGCTCTCCCGTAGATTCCAGCTCAGGCATGTAAGATATCAGGTGACTTGTATTAAAGTGACCCATCTGAATATATGCCTGGTTTTTATGTAAGTCTTTCATATTCCAAGATATTAAATCATAGGGGGAAAGGGGATTTTTAAATGTGAGTCCATTTTATGACTATCTGGAATGTCTTTGAAGCCCAGTGAAGGACTGGTTTTATGGCTATACGTTATCCCAGATTGAGAAGCTAACAGACATCTTGGCACCAGCTAGGTTGGGATTTTATAGCCCTGAAGCTCTCCCACTGAGCCTGATTGCCTGTAATCTCTGCATCATACAGACCACATGTCACTCAACAGAGAGGGAGGGGGGATTTCGGAGGAGGGAGACTGATTTGGGAGTAGAAAATGATACAAGATGGAGGCATTTGCCAAAATGGAGGTTCGCATCCATCTCTGTGTGCACGATTGCTACAAATGGTACTTGCCTGACTGCTTAGACACACATCTAAACTCTGTGGACAGCCTTCCTAAAAGAGTTGAAGCTGTTATAGCTGCAAAGGGTGGGCCAACTCATGATTGAACCCTACGGACCAAGACTGGGATGCTATTAAAATTCATGTGCATGTAAAGCAGGCTTCCCAATAATTTTGGCAATATAGTGTATGTAAAGCCACCTAAGGTACCTACTTTAAGCTCACTTTATAATATCTGTTGTGTGTATATTAGTGTTGAAGTTGTGGTGCTGTTATAAAAAGATATACACTCAGCCAATCAATCAGACTTCTAGACCTTGTCATACATAAGAAGGCCCTCTTGCCAATGACCAGAGGGTTTTTCATTTTATTAACTCAGACATCTTATTTAAGTATTTATCTTGTGATTTGCATTTATATACATTTATATACAAGGGCAGGGGACATGACCTTGGTCATGGTGTTTTTTGCAGCAACAATAATGAATGGGCTGGCTGTTATATGTTGTCTGTAACAATCATGCACACAGGGAGAGGCGCGGTTCTCCATTTTGCTGCAAACTTCTGCATTTTGGTATTTCTCTTAAATTCCAAATCAGTCTCCCTCCTCCGATTTCCCCCCTACCTCAGGAATGTGTTCAGTGTACCTTGCTAGTGCCTGCCTTTATACAATCCTTTTACCAAATAAGGCAATTGGGTTCTGTTGTAAGAGGGTAGAAAAAGAGGCTGTTATGTTTTGTGTGTAGACAGAGAAGTGAGGACCCTCTGCATTTAGCATCTCACAGAGTGAGAGAAGCAAAGTCTACTGCGATGAACCAATGAAACTAGCAGTCGAGACACAGAAAGCATCCTTTTTAGCTCATCAGACTTGAAACTGCTTAACCCCAAGCATCTGTTTGGCAAGTACTTATTTTTATCTAAACTTCTTTCTGTTATCTGTTTGCTGTGCTGTTGTTCTCTGTATATTTATATATACAGTATATATATTGGTTACATCTTTTTTCTGTAAATATTTCCACTGCATCCTTTTGACCTTTTAGTAATAAATCTTACTTTCTGAAAGTGTTGAACTGTTTCTATAGCCCTTTAATGTGACTTACGAAGCCCTGCCGCTGAAGAGGGTCAACCGGTTATTAAATCCAAAGGTTCACATACTTTTTCCTCCCTGCACTGTGAATATTTACATGTTATGTGCAATTAAACCATGGCAACATCTAATGTTTGTGTAGTATTATGTTCAGCAGACTGTGTTCTTCTATTGTTGTGACTTAGATGACGTTCAGAGCACATTTTATACCCAATTCATGCAAAACTCCACGTAATCCCAAGGGGTTCACTTACTTTTTCTTGCAACTGTATGTGTACAATAAATTACAATAAATGTGAGAAATAAAATAACAGTAGTTTTGTGCAGGCAGCCCACCAAAAAGTATCAAGAGGAAAACGTACATTTGTCAGTTACTGAATTCCAAAACAAATCATTGTTGTAGGATGTTATATGTTAAAAGCTGTCTGAGAAAACTTTTATCATAAGAAAATGTTTCTGCAAACAAATGACAACTTTCTGCAGAACATAAGCTGCTGTCCTGCAGAGAATTAGCAGAGTTCAGTGTGAAGGTTGTCTAAAAAAAAATCCTTTTCTCCTTTCACCTGTGGATTTCTCAGCATGATTTTCAAAATTATATATGAAAATGTGCGACTCTTTAATATATCCCATCAGCTGAACATAATAAGGAAAATCTGAACTCAGGAAGAAAACAATTTAGAATGTATTTGCTTATGTATTATGTCAAAATAAATGTAGAGGGTGCCATGCAAAATTGATCACAAAATTGCAAACAAGTCTGGGTAAAAAAAACAGAATAGCGTACTGTTATTTCCAACACTAATTTTCAATGGTACCATTATGACAAGCAAAGTTCTTGGAACACATGTTCAGTTCTCTGCCAACACATATAGTTTTTGTATAAACTTCCCACTGTCCACTGGATTCACTTAATAGAAACCTATGCTTTGATTAGGGTCTGGTACAGCTATTATGGGGGAATCCCACACAAAAAAATAAAAAGCATGAGGTCTCCTCCAACATCAATACCAAACATTTACCAGAGCATGCAGCATATGCTTATGTTTTCATATAGTCAGGTCCATAAATATTGGGACATCTACACAATTCTAACATTTTTGGCTCTATACAACACCACAATGGATTTGAAATGAAACGAACAAGATGTGCTTTAACTGCAGGCTGTCAGCTTTAATTTGAGGGTATTTACATCCAAATCAGGTGAACGGTGTAGGAATTACAACAGTTTGCATATGTGCCTCCCACTTGTTAAGGGACCAAAAGTAATGGGACAGAATAATAATCATAAATCAAACTGTCACTTTTTAATACTTGGTTGCAAATCTTTTGCAGTCAATTACAGCCTGAAGTCTGGAATGCATAGACATCACCAGACGCTGGGTTTCATCCCTGGTGATGCTCTGCCAGGTCTCTACTGCAACTGTCTTCAGTCCCTGCTTGTTCTTGGGGAATTTTCCCTTCAGTTTTGTCTTCAGCAAGTGAAATGCATGCTCAATCGGATTCAGGTCAGGTGATTGACTTGGCCATTGCATAACATTCCACTTCTTTCCCTTAAAAAACTCTTTGGTTGCTTTTGCAGTATGCTTTGGGTCATTGTCCATCTGCACTGTAAAGCGGCGTCCAATGAGTTCTGAAGCATTTGGCTGAATATGAGCAGATAATATTGCCTGAAACACTTCAGAATTCATCCTGCTGCTTTTGTCAGCAGTCACATCATCAATAAATACAAGAGAAGCAGTTCCATTGGCAGCCATACATGCCCACGCCATGACACTACCACCACCATGCTTCACTGATGAGGTGGTATGCTTAGGATCATGAGCAGTTCCTTTCCTTCTCCATACTCTTCTCTTCCCATCACTCTGGTACAAGTTGATCTGGTCTCATCTGTCCATAGGATGTTGTTCCAGAACTGTGAAGGCTTTTTTAAATGTCGTTTGGCAAACTCTAATCTGGCCTTCCTGTTTTTGAGGCTCACCAATGGTTTACATCTTGTGGTGAACTCTCTGTATTCACTCTGGTGAAGTCTTCTCTTGATTGTTGACTTTGACACACATACACCTACCTCTTGGAGAGTGTTCTTGATCTGGCCAACTGTTGTGAAGGGTGTGTGTTCTTCACCAGGGAAAGAATTCTTCGGTCATCCACCACAGTTGTTTTCCGTGGTCTTCCGGGTCTTTTGGTGTTGCTGAGCTCACCGGTGTTGTTCCTTCTTTTTAAGAATGTTCCAAACAGTTGTCTTGGCCACACCTAATGTTTTTGCTATCTCTCTGATGGATTTTTTTTTTTTTTGCAGCCTAATGATGGCTTGCTTCACTGATAGTGACAGCTC